AGATTTAACAGTAATAGTAGTGTAGACTTTATAATAGTTGACCAGGGTTGAGGGAATTATTTGTTTAGTAGAGTGATGGCTTTTGGGAAAAAACTGTTCTTGTGTCTAGTTGTTTTGGTGTGCAATGCTCTATAGCGTCGTTTTCTAGAGAAAACAAAAACCAGGGGAGGCATGATAGCAGTGTTCCAAATTTGAGGGGCTGCCACAAAGAAGAGGGGTTCAAGCTATTCTCCAAAGCACCTGAGGGCAGGACAAGAGGCAACGGATGGAAATTAATTAGAGAACCAGCCTAGGAGTAGAGAAATTTCCTGACGGTGAGAAGAATTAATCAGTGGAACAACTTGCCTCCAAAAGTGGTGAATGCTCCATCACTGGAAGTTTTCAAAACTAAACTGGACAACCATTGGACCAGGATGGCATAAGGATTCCAGCCTTGATCAGAAGGTTGGACTAGAAGACCTCCAAAGCCCCTTTCAGCCGTACGATTCTAGAATCAGCAGTTCAACAGAGTCGTTTCAACGGCAAGAGAAGCACCATAAAAATAAAATAAAATAGTGGAGCCAATCTCCTTCCCTACCCAAACAAATAAACAAACAAACACTGCCAGCCAGTGCCAACATAATTAGTTTAAAACGGGAATGCCATTACCTTAGTTTGGTGTAATGTTATTGCAATTTGGATTTGCTATTGAAGCTGAAGTAGACAGAAACCACACTGGACGTTATTGCTCTGAGAAATGTGTTAACTTGCTTTGCACAGATTGGCTAAAACTGCCCCACTGAAACTGTGCTTTGAAAGGAAATAAAAAGGAAAAGGTTACTGTGGTCTGTGGGGGAAAGAAATTAACACTGGTTGGGGTCTCACATTGTGCTAAATAGAAGGCAGAGAACAGCCCTGATAGCTTATTGTAGTGCAGTGTTTCTCAACCGTGGCAACTTAAAAGACGGGTGAACTCCAACTCCCAGAATTCCCCAGCCGGCATGCTTTAAGATAGGTGGATTTCAATTCCCAGAATTCCCCAGCCGGCATGCTTTAAGATAGGTGAACTCAGTGTGGGATTCAAAAAAATTTACTACCAATTCTGTGGGCATGGCTTGGTGGGTGTGGCAGGGGAAGGACACTGCAAAATCCCATCCCCTCCTCACCCCATTAACCTGCTTTCCAGCTCCGTTCTCCTGTGCAGGGCAAACAAAGAAGACCCAGCCAATCAGCTGGGACTCGGGAGGCAGAGAAGAGAGTGGGACGGGGCCAGCCAGAGGTGGCATTGGCCGGTTCTCCGAACTACTCAAATCTTCCGCTACCGGTTCTCCAGAACCGATCAGAACCTGCTGAATACCACCTCTGGGTGTTCTTCAACTCCCAGAATTCCCCAGCCAGCTTGCTTTAAGATAGATGGACTTCATCTCCCACAATTCCCAGCCATCGTGCAACATGGAATTCTGGGAGTTGAAGTCCACGCATCTTCCAGCTGCCAAGGTTGAGAAGTACTTCTACCATGAAAAAAATCAGTCACCAAAAAGATAATTTGGAATTTGACATTTCCGGGCCCAAATATCTACTGGGGACTCCCTCTTTGCATTCTAACTATCTGTAACCTTAACTACAATACTTAAGTTGCCTTTCCCATATGTGTATCCAGGCCACATCACCTCTCACCCCCAGCTGCAGCAAAAGGATGCTAAGAAGCTTCATCTGTTGCTATGGAAACCCCAGGTACCAATGAGGAGACAGCAGCCACTAGCCTCTGATGTCACTGAGGGGATTCCCAAACGCACCAATCAATTTTAAGAGCTGCTGGGTTCTTTTTTGATCATAGTTTTGCCACAGTTCAGCGTGGATGGGATGAGTCCATGTAGGCTTCCAAATAAAAATAAATAAAAGATTTATTTCAATCTTTTAAATAAATAAAAAGATTTAGATTAGTTCTGGCCTCTGCTGGGTTATTTCCAGCAGTGTGCTTGATTTTATGCCAAGGGTATCTAAACTTGGCCACTTTAAGACCTGTGTTATATGTGGTGAACATGTGTAAAAGCAAAGAAATACATACATGGTTGGAAAAAATATTAAAACAACACATAGATTGTAAACCAGAAATATTTTTGATAGCCATAATACCAGAAAAGTAAGATAAAGGGAACCTATACTTAATATTACATGTTTTGACAGCAGCAAGAATTGTATTTGCACAGAACTGGACAAATGAGGAAACACCTACAAAGGATGATGTAATTTAAAAAAAAAAAACTAGATTGTGCAGAAATGGACAGATTGACACTAAAAATAAAAGAAAAAGAAGATACGAGTATTTTCGAACATGGGACTTGTCTTATAAATGGTTGGATAGCAGAGGTAGAAATTAGGAGTGGGAAAAGTATTACCATATATAAATAAATTGATCCAGACAATTCGCTGTTCACTAAGCACTTATATATGTAATGTGAAAATATATAAACTATTAAAAAAAAAGAAAGAATTGTGGAATTCCATTTCCGGTAGTAAGCCGAGGTTGTAAGTTAGTTTGGGCACACTTTTCTATTTGTGAGCACGATCCTTGTGTTTAAATCCAGGGTGAGAGAAAAACGATGTTACTCTTTTACAAATAGGATTCATATAATTAGATTAGAAGATTCTCTTTTGCTCTTTCTGAGGCTTCTTGTTAACTTCCTTTTTTTTTCTCTTTTTCTGCACAAACCCCCACTCTGTAACCTAAAATGTGTTCAGCCACAAGGACATAATAGATTGTTATAATCTTCTTGGAAAACAGGAAGATCTGTCCCGGATAGGCAACAAATAAGATAAGAGACATCCTCCCAAGGGAAAGCCCAGCAGCAAAACTAAGATAAGACACTGAAACACAGGAAACAATGCCATGCTGACCCTCAAGCTTATAGTCTAGAATATAGAGAATAAGGGGGTGTGTGGGGAGGGCTTCTTAGGCATGGCGTGTTCTGTGCAGGGGTATATAAAATGTATTGTTTGAATATGGAGGCTTGCTCTTCTTGTGCCCAATCCGCTTGGGACAAGACTTGAGGGTCCGTCTGCAAATGTTTATTTTCTTTAAACCTTTGAATTGTGAACCAGACCTGTTCCTGTGTTGTTAGAATTGAATAATTCGGGTCTTACATCTCACAAGGGTTAGGGTTAAATTCTGCTGGGGGTGGGGTGGGGGGGGAAGCCAGCCAATATACATATAGTCCTCAACTTATGACCATTTGTTTAGTGACTGCTCGAGGTCCTAACGGCACTTGGAACAAGTGACTTGCAATGGGCAGTCACGCTTACATCCGTTGCTGTATCCCCCGGTCACGCGATCAAAATGCAGGTGCTTGGCGACTGGTATGTATTTGTGACGGTTGCGGCGTCCCAGGTCTTGTGAATTTTTGTCAATGGATTCACTTAGCAAAGTTAAAGTTAATGGATCCACTTAACAACCGTGTCACCAACTTAACTGCAGCAATTCAGCTGGGTGAGTGGAGGGTTTTTTATTATTTCTGGATCAGGTTTAAGTCCACTAGGACCCCCTCTCTCACAGTTACTGTTTTCGAGCCAGGTTTCCCTCCTAATCTGTACTTGTATCTTTAGTTTTCGGACTTGGCCTGCTGGTGGCTAGATTTAATTGGGACCATTCTGAGTTTTGGTAAAGGGAATTGTGGGGGAATATTAATAAACTCGTAAACCACAGTTAGGGGGGTGTATGTGTGTGTGTGTGAGAGAGAGAGAGAGAGAAAGAGAGAGCGGGGCAGCACAGAGGTGAAGTGAGATATTGGTTGAATTGCTTGATTTCAGGCCAGGGAAAATTTCATAGATCCTGCTCACAATTTTTAAATTATGGTTATTTATACTGTGTTTCTGTTAGTTTTACGCCCTTGTTTCCATAGTTTTAAGCCTAGTTTGCCATCTAGTGCTGTTACATTGCGAGACGACCGATGAAATAAATAAGTAAAATTAAGTACTTGTAAAAAAATGTCACTGAGAAAATATGTGGATTAGTTTTTGGACAGTCAGTAGGGGGGACATGAAGGAGCAGCAACAATGACAAGTAGCTATGACACAGGTGCACCTTACCGATAAACCACAATAATTCTCTTCCTCATTCCCAAACTATGCCAAATTGCGCCCATTTCTCCCAAGAAGGTTCATAAACTGCAATTCTGCCTCTGCCTACCAGCATCCATCGGTATTCATCTGGCTAGCATCCTGTTAGTATGTGAGAGATGAGGGCTGTTTGGAAACTGAAACAGTATTTGCTGTGTGAGCAAGGAGACAGCAAGGAGCTTGAGCGTGGCTTAGCTCAACTGTTCTGTACTAAAGTTGCTTGGTGCTGTGAAACTGAAACTGCAACTCCTCTCCTCTTGCTTGTGTTTTGCATTTGGAGCAGATTTCTTTTCAGGTGGGGAGGGGGAGTAGAACTCCTTAGCATCAGAGCGTGTTAATAATAATAATAATATAGGAAATACTAATGCTCCTGATGGTCATTTTGAAAAATCCTTTCTTAGTGAGCACCTAGAAGCCAAGAGGAACATACGGGCCAAATTTCAAGTTTGTAGGCTTTACAGTTCTGGAGATTTTTGTGATGATGTGTGAGTGGTATTTCATTTTTATATATATATATATTTTTAAAAACCTGAATGACTTCAGTAAATTGTCATCAGGTCAACGTCCTTAGAGGGACCTCTGGTGGATGCTGAAGACACAGCTTAGTGTAAAACGTCTTAATCCTGTAAAAGAGAGTTTTGTAAGGTTTTGTTTTTGAGGTATGCTGAAAGTGTTTTTCAGGGCGAGAAAAATATTTGCTGGGGAGGGAAGGAAGAGGGAAATGCGACAGGACCGGGGAAATGATCATAATGGGGAAATGATCACAACGACCTCGATTCTTTCATACAAAAGTGGCTTGTGGCATGGGAAAATTCTTACTCTCCCCAATGGGTTTTTGTATTTTAGCTTTTTATTTTTGAATAAAATAAAAATAGGGGGAGAAAAAGAAAAAAAGAAAAGAAAGGCAGAAGCCGGGAATCTGAACGACCAACCCAGATGCAACCGACGTGGGCCGCACATGGGAAAGATTGTGGTTTGCCACCATTCATTTAAGAGTCTTGCCGATAATAAATGACACAAGCAACCCAGGTTTGGCACCTCCGAGGCTCCTGACGTGGAGGAGTTCTTCCTTCTTCAGACTGCAGGATTTTGTGCAAACTTCAGCTCCCATGAAATGACGGGATGGGGGTGACCCCTGCTTAAAACATCACCTTCCCCAGCGTTCTACCTCTTTAGGTTGGTGTAGCTGCTGCAGCGATCTCTTTCTTCTTCGCTACCCGTTCAGCTGCCCTGGCTTCTGCCTCGGCAGCCAACCTCTCTTCACGCTCTTTCAGAAAGACTCCATATTCTTCGGCGTTTAACCTAACCGGAGGAGAGAAGAGAGAAGGTTTGCAACTGTCCGCTCGTCGCAAACACACAGACACCCACTGTCAAGGTGGGTTTATGATATGAGCCAGCAGTGTGCAGTGACAGCCAAAAAAGTCAACGCAATCCTAAGTTGCATTAACCGAGGGATACAATCGAGATCAAGAGAGGTACTAATACCACTCTATAAAGCCTGAGTAAGACCACACCTACAGGACTGCATCTAGTTTTGGTCACCACACTATAAAAAAAAGGTGTTGAGACTGTAGAAAAAGTGCAGAGAAGAGCAACCAGGATGATTAGGGGACTGGAGACTAAAACATTTGAAGAACGGTTGCAGGAACTGGGCCTGGCTAGTCTAGTGAAGAGAAGGACCAGGGGAGACAGGAGAGCATCTTCCAATATTTGAGGGGCTGCCCCAGAGAGGAGGAGGGGGTCAATCTATTCTCCAAGACACCCGAAGGCCAGACAAGGAATAATGGATGGAAACTGATCAAGGAGAGATTCAACCTGGAAATAAGGAGAAACTTTCTGACGGGGGAACAATCAACCAATGGAACAGAAGTTGCCTTCTAAGTTGTGGGAGCTTCATCCCTGGAAGCTTTCAAGAAGAGACTGGACTGCCATCGGTCAGAAATGGTGTAGGATCTGCTTGGGCGAGGAAGGGGGGTTGGACTAGATGACCTACAAGATCCCTTCCAACTATGTTAATCTGTTATCTGTAGCTAAGGTTGACTCGCAAAGCACCACTTTCTGCTCGCAGCTTGACAAAGAAGCCAAGGAGTGGGGGGGGGGGGCTATGAGTGGAACGTGTAGGAAGCAGGAGGGAGAAAAGGAATCTGTGTGAGCCTCCTGCAGCCTGAGAAAATCTCACGAGCCCAAGGTCAGAAAGTCTGAAGACTTTCAAGAGGGGCAGACCGTTTCCCAAAACAAAATGCTTAACCTGGATTCGTGGGCGGTGGATGCAGGGCGGCCTGGGGAAGAAAAAACGGGTTTCATTACACTACACTTCCCCGCCAAAATCTCACAACTGGCTTCTTCAGTGCCTGGATGGATTTATCGGTAAAGTTTGACTCTTGATAATAAACATTTCTTTTGCTGTGCATGGCAACGGGATGACTGACACCCGTGTTTCAGCTCCCGAAAGCACCTCGGAACTCTGTCCTGTCGCTTTTCCCCTTCGTTTTCTCAGCAAGGTCCCTAAGAAGCGGCCCTAGACACAGGTAGTCCTCAACTTACAACAGTTCATTTAGTGACCATCCAAAGCTACGACGGCACTGAAAAAAAGTGACTTACGATCGTTTTTCACACTTACGACCACCGCAGCATTCCCCCACGGCCATGTGATCAAACTTCAGGTGCTTGACAACTGACTCATAGATACGGCGGTCGCAGGGGGTCATGTGATCTACTTTGGCGACCTTCTGACCAAGAAAGTCAAGGGGGAAGCCAGATTCACTTAATGACTATGTTATTCATTTAACAACGGCGGTGATCCACTTAACAAATGGTGACAAGAAAGGTTGCAAAATGGGGCAAAACTCCGCTGGCAGTTGTCTCGCTCAGCAGTAGAAATTTGGGGGTCACTTGTGGTCGTAATTCGAGGACTACCTCCTCTGTCTTGGTCCCAACCAGGTCCCTCCAGCTTCTCCCTGCCCGCACCTGTCCCTGTTCCTTCTTGATACTTACTCTTTCACTACTTGGATGCCAATCGATCGGGCTGTTCCAATCAGGGACCTGATGACCGTTTCCAGTGGCCAGTCGCGGATCACAAACGAGGAGTCCTGGGATTTCACCAGTGCTATCTCATACAAGTGCTTCAGGGTCACCATCCCGGCTATGTCGTGTCCTACCAGGGATGGAGATGGTTGTCAATAGCAATAGCACTTAGACTTATACACAGCTTTATAGTGATTTCCAGCCCTCTCTGAGCAGTTTACAGAGTCAGCCTCTTGCCCCCCCCCAACAATCTGGGTCCTCATTTTACCGATCTCGGAAGGACGGAAGGCTGAGTCCACCTTGAGCTGGTTAGGATTGAAGTGCTGGCAGTGGGCAGAGTCAGTCTGTAATACTGCATTCTAATCACGAGGGAGGGCAATAACACAGACTTATATACCGCTTCACAGCCCTCTCTAAGCGGCTTACAGAGTCAGCCTATTGCCCCCCAACCATCTGGGTCCTCATTTTACCGATCTCGGAAGGACGGAAGGCTGAGTCCACCTTGAGCTGGTCAGGATTGAACTGCTGGCAGTTGGCAGGATTAGCCTGCAATACTGCATTCTAGCTACTGCACCACCACGGCTCTTCCAAGCTCAAAGCCGTCCCAACCCACAGCCTGGTGGATGAACTTGGAGGAGGAGGAAGGGTCTAAAATGGGAAAAAACTGTCTCCCTTAACAACAGACGTTTTGGGCTCAATTGTGCTCGTAAATCAAGGAGTTACTTGTACTTGGCAACTGGGCCACACCCAGTGCTAACACCTGTTTTGTTCCTTCTTCACCCTCCAGCTTCCTCCCTCCAAGTCGCCTAGTTTTTCCTCTCTCAATTCTTCTTACCAGGTGATGTTGCTCCCTTTTCTATACCAGCTGCTGAAAGTAAAAAGTAGGTGGCTGTTGGTTTGTGTATCTCAAGTTCATAAGACCTGTCAGACTATGGAAAAGAAAAAGAAAAAGAAAACAGGAGAAATAAATACAGAACATCATCACTGTCTTTTAACCAACCCCATAATCCCTTGCGGGGTGAGGTCTGGGCAACTGAATGCAGATGAGTTTTTACTGGCCGGATGCCTTTCCTGTCACCAATGTGGAGCTATATTCATATTCAGCAGATATATTTTTTCATCGTGCCCAGAGAGAGAAATATCTGCCACTACCTAGGATCAAACTCAAAGCCTCCTGATTGTGAGGCAACAGCTCCACTTCTAGGGCTCTGCACCACTCAAATAAATACAGAATGCTAGAGTTATATAAAAAGTATATATGGAGAAATGTAGCATATTAGGCATTTCAATACACTATTAAAATTATGTTTCTGTTGTGTTCTCTTTAGTACAATGTTGGGGATCTATTTTTATTCTTTTGTCCTTTGTGGCAGATTTTTTCCTGCCCGTATATAGTCAAAGCGTTTGGTCAGAACAGAAATTAAAGCACAAACTGTTCTTTGCTATGGACCTATCACTTTATTTAACTTCATTTGTAATTCTTAGTTCTTTATTATTCCGTATCAGGATTCTCCAAATTTGGCTGGCTGGGGAATTCTGGGAGTTGGAAGTCCACATGTCTCAAAGTTTATGTTTCAGAAAACTATTGCCTGTACCTATAAATCCTTGATTTATCAGTGTAAGATTCTTTTATTCTTTTTTTCTTTTTCTTTTTTTTTAAAACAAATTTTATTTTCAAGACAAACAATACATAAATACACATAAACACAAAACATAAAAGCATAAAAAATCTCTTTTCTGAAAGTTGCTTAGTCCCGGGTTAAAACTCTTGGTACAGACACAAATTCAAATTCATATTCATTTAATATACCATTTCATATCTTATTAACATTTTCAATTTTCTATATGACTTCTCCTCTCCTTTAAATTTTCTCAATTTTATTTTATTTTATTTATCTCCTCTCAATTCGTATCATAATATTTATTATTCTTTGTCTGTTCTATTCCAGCCAACCATTTATTTTTCTTCTTTAAAAAAAGAAGAAAGACTTCTCCTGTACACTATATGGAGTATGATGCCTTTATCTCTTTCTCCTATATTTATAATACTTAATATAAAACACATGACATACATTGGGATTCTGTCTGGTACATTCTAAAATTATACTATATTATCAAAAATAATACAAATCTATTCATTAGTATTGATATTCATTCATATCTTAAACGTTTAACTCATTGCTTTTCAATGAAATCACATACTTTTATGGGAGCCCTATTTTCCATAATTATTCCCCCCCCCCCACATCACATATTATAGCTCAATATTTCATTAAAATGTTCCTCCTTCTTCTACTTCAAATCTCATTTCACAAAAAATTCACTAATATACCATATTCTAATCATTAATATTAACAATCATTTATATCTTAAACATTTTATCCATTTCAATTAAATATCATGCCTTTGTGGGAACACTTCTGCTTTCCAAAGATTATTACCCGCCCCACATCACAATCTTGAATCATATTTCATTACAGCACTCCCTTTTTCTTAACCAAAAATTTCACTAATTTATGTTAAATATTTTATCACATTTTAAGTTACATATTATTTCTAATTTTCTATGATTACTTCTAAATACAGGTATAAAAATGCAGTCTTATGTACCTTTCTAGAATCCCTTTAACAATAAGATTTATCCATTATCTCTAAAAAACTTTTGCTTCTTAACTTCTTGCTCCCCACCATTAGGGCTTCTCATCTCTTCCTTTCTCTCTTGCTTCTTCTTCTCCTTGTCCTCTTTAACCCCTTGTCTCTCCACCCCCCTTTTATTCTGCTTTCCCCCTTTCTGTTGTTTTTTAACATAATGTCCCCTTTTCACCTTATTCTTCTCTTTTTGGGCTGTTTTTCCAGATCTTAAAGACCTTTTTTCCTTTTTCTCTTGCTTTTTCCCTTCTCCAGTTAAAGTCATTTGTTCATCAAAGATGGCTTCTTCTTCTTCTTTGTCCCCATCATCCTCATTCTGCTTCACATAAGTATAAACCGCCATTTCTAAGTATTGGAAAATAGTGCCAAGACCATCTTTCCCTCCTTGTTTTTCTCTTTCATATTTTTGATATATATGTTTCAATCCATCCATAGATGATGCCATTGTGTAGAGAAAAAGTTTTTCCAAACAACCTCCCAGATGTTTTAATCAGAAGTAATTTCCAAAGGTTCCAAAATCACCAAACAATCCAAACAGACTATTTTTTAGATACCTTCTTCTTCTTCACTTTCTCTTTCTGGGGTTAAAGTAATCACAAATCCTTTTCAAATATATTTTTTGGAAGTTTTTTAATGTTTAACAACTCTTTGCAATTCTAGGCAATCTTCTCCTTATTTTCAAATTTTGCTCTAATTTTTTTCACTCTCCCTTCCCACTCACAGCCAAAAAGGTTTTTTTTTTTTTCTGCTGTCACTTTAGGAAGGAGAGTAGAACAAAGAAAAAACTTTCCCCTTTAGAGTATTCACAGCTTGTAACTCTCACAAGGAACAATATATACTTAGCAGCCTTCAAGGTTCCAGGTCACTTTCTCCCGTCTTGTCCCGGTTAGAAGCAACTTTCACTTTTCTTCCAGCTTTCTCCCTCCTGCACCTGCTTGTCCGGCTGCAGCTTTCTTCGTGGCGGCCATTGCTGACCGCCGTTCCTCAGCCTCGGGAAAAGGGGGTTTAGCCGGCTGGGGAGGGGGTTTGCGGCACCCCCAAACCCCTTGCCGGATCCCCCCTGTCTTCAGCTGCCTCTACGGGGCAGCTATATCCCCCAGATCCAAATGGATCGGGGGAACCTTGGCGGCGAACGCAGCAGGGATCGCGCGGTCGCGAATCCCTGCCGCCGCCGAAAGCTTGCAAACCGGAAGTCCTCCTTTTATTCTTTTTTTCAATGTTCTTGCTGGCACTTGTTTATACAGTATATGTGCTTTAAGGTGCTCAATTGAAAAAAAGAAATGGAGGAATAGCACTAGCACTTAGACTTATATGCTGCTTCACAGTGCTTTACAGTCCTCTCTAAGCAGTTTACAGAGTCAGCCTATTGCACCCAATAATCTGGATCCTAATTTTACTGACCTCGCAAGGACGGAAGTTTGAGTCAACCTTGAGCTGGTCAGGATCGAACTGAAAGTTAACTTAGGCTTCCACCCTTCCGAGGAATCTAAAGCTTGTTGCTTGCAATCCTTTAAAACAACACTTCCCAACCTTGGCAATTTTAAGATACGTTGACTTCAACTCCCAGAATTCCCCAGCCAGCTTATCTTAAAGACTCTAAGATTGGAAAACGCTGTTTTAAAAGAAGCTGTAGCCAGGCTGGAGCCTGGAATTCAAAAGCACTATGTCAAAATGTTTGAAAGAATAGATGGCCTGTGGGGCAGTTCCAGATAGGCTTTTGCCCTGGAGGGTGGGGGGTGTTTTGGTATATTGCTCAGGAATCCTGGAAGTTCCATCCCAGCCCATCCTGCTCGCAAAACTCTTTGAAATTAAGAAAGGAACATCTCATTTCACCTTTATGTTGATTTGGGTGGGTAGTGGGATGCCTGGTATGAAGTCCTTGGTCCGCTCATTGAAATCCTTACAGAATTGCCCGATGGGAATGCCATACTTTTTATGGGAAGAGAGAAAGAGAGAGGTGTTAATTTAGCCATTTAAAAACCTCAATCCAGGTTCCTAACTGTTTTCCCAGAAATCGCCTCTTTGTGCTAATCCAGGGGTTTTTGGAACTGGTGGTGGGAATGGGGATTGGAAGGATTTATACTCCTTGCAGACAGAGCTGGTCGTTTGCATTTTTAGTTGTTCAGGCCATAGGAGAACAAACCCATCAGGACAAGATTCAGCAGTCCACCTGCATTTAAAAGACAAAGGCCACTCTTTTAAAGACAGCAAAATCCTCATTTTGGACAGAGAGGACTGCTGGTTTGAAAGAGGGGTCAAAGAAGCCATCCATACCCAAAATGAACATCCCCCTCTCAACAGGGGGGGGGGGGGGAGAGAGATGCAACGTCATCTATCTCCTGTTTACAACAGTCCTTTCAGCAGCTCCAAGAAGCCTCTACACCCATTTGCACTACTCAGATGAGCCTAAGGCCTCAGATAAACCTCCAAATGGCCTCAAGGACTCTCTGAAATAATGCAAATAACCAGCTGTCTTCAAGGAGTATAAATCCTCCCATTCCCCACCTTCTCTTATCTACTGTTTTGAGGGTTAGTAATTCAGATTCTTGTAGAGGGTATTAACATGCAATAAACCTGTAGTAATTTGAACTCCTTGCTTCCTGATGTATTATGTCTGACACAAAACACAGCAGTATGTGCTTTTCTGAAAAAAATATTTAGTGTGTTACATGAGCCCCATTTGCAAATTCTTTCATCAATGCATGGCTAATCTTGGCTCAGCTTGGAGGAGAAAAACAACAAAAGAACTTAGTTCACATTCCAGTCTGTGGCCAGTTCTTCTGCTTTGTTGGTTTAGTCTGGGATGAGGACCGTTGGCCCCTTTATGAGTTGTGCAGTTCAATTCCCAGAATTCCAGATCCAGCATGGAGTGGAGCCTGGAGTTGAAGTCCATAAGCAGCATGGCTGGCTCAGGAATTCTGGGAGTTGAAGTTCACAAGTCATAAAGGAGCCATCGTTCCCCACTCCCGGTCTAAGATGCTATCTTTATAAAAAATAACCTAACTTTGCTACCCTGTCTTTATCCTATGGTTTACCTGTCCAAGAACAGGTCCTAGAGGTGGACCTGGAATAGCCTGTCCAGCTTTGATGATTGACCGGATCACACCTCCACCAGTTATCTTCAGTGCCGTTTTGCCAGCTTGGCTAAGCTTTGACATGATGGTTTTGGTTCTGCACAGACCTAGATTAAAAAGAGATTGAGAAAGGGAACTGAGAGGACTGGAATCTCAGAACTGTTATTACCCATTGCTTCGGAATCTGGAGTTAAGATGTGTAGTCTTCAACTCCCAGAATTCCCCAGCCAGCCCAACTCCTAGAATTGAACATTCTGGGAGTTGAAGTCCACACTTCTAAAAGCTGCCAAGGTTGAGAAACACTGATCCTACACAAGGAGGACAGAGCAAATGTGATACAAACTGTTTGAGATGGAGACCACAGGGAGAAAAATTCAGTTTCACAGGGAGAGGGATCCAAATAGATGCCGAGAAAGATCTAAAAGCACAGCCAGGAAACTGTTAGAATACTTGCTTTACAGGCAGATGATGTCAGGTTTTTCCTTTTCAACACCTCCAGTTTTATGGAACAGATAGCATAAACTGATGCCAAATTGCAGCCCTGCAACAGGAGAAAACAAGAGTTGGTGTTTATAACAAAAAGTCCCTCTTCAGCCACAGAATACATGCATGCAGCCTCATTTGCAATACTACCACTTTTCAATATCTAACACTCCAGCCATCCCCAACCTAATTTCTTCCAGTAACATAGTTATCACAATGCCCAACATTTCCAGCCAGAAATTAGGAGGATTATCACCCAACACCCCTCGGAGGGCACCTTCAGCACAATTAACTAGCATGTTAGGTGGTTTGTAGCTCAATACCCAGTGGATTGTATGCCGAAAGCACACTAAATTTGATTAGTGCAAATCAAAATTAAATTAAATTTGACTGTGCAAATCAAACCAGGCTAACTGTAAGCTATGTAAACTGTGCAACTGTGCAAACCTAATCAGTGGATTAATTATATTTGTGTATGTATATGTTATATTACAGCTGGTATTACAGCTGGTATGGGGAATTCTGGGAGTTGAAGTCCACCCATTTTGAATCATGCTGGCTGGGGGATTCTGGGAGTTGAAGTCCATCCATTCAATTACTTAAAGTATGCACGTGCAGAAGTATCTTTAATCATCACCGTTTCTCTCCTGCAACCAACTCAATTCCCATCTTCACCCCATAATCCAATAGCAGGAATCGGAGGAGTCATTTCTTCGATCCGGAAAAACCCGGAGAAGAAGAATCCCACCTAATCCAAACCCCTTTCTCCCTCCCGGGCCTCCCTTCCTAAGCCTCGACTCTCCGTCTTTCGCCGCCCACTGTCTCTCGTCGCGCTCTTCCCTGCTGAACCGCCTACCCCGGATTCCCTCAAGGAAACCCTAGCTGGGCGCCGCCATCGTGGAGTCAGCGAGGTCAACCGGGCGCTTTGCATGCCGGGAAGCCTTCGCTTTTTGCCCCGGCATTAAATGGCGCCCATTCTCCTAGCAACTCTGCAGCTCAGTGACGTCACCGAAGCGCGCGCGCGGGGCACGTCGGGAGGGTTCCGTCGGCGCCCGTTCCCATGGCAACGGGAGAATCCCGCGGCTTCTGTTTGCTGTGGAGGGGAAGAGTGAAGATGGCGCTTTCCTCGCCTCAGCAAAGAGACGACGAACTTTTTCTGCGCTTAAATCTTTCCCCTGGTGCTTTTTCCATATTTTTTTGGAAAAAAAATACGGCCCTCGCTCTGCCGTTTGTGGTGGGGGTACCTCAAGTGAGGCCTGGAAGTTTTGCTGAAGCAGGGGGGGACTCGAAATGGCGGGTGGTCGCAACGCCTGAGGGATTTTTTTTTTAGTTTACTTTGTTGTCATTGCACCTCGTACAACGAAATTAAATGCCATCTTAAGCATACGTCATAACTATCAAAATAAAACAGAAAAACACATCCTTCTCATTCTATACGATTTATTTTTTTTAATAGAAGAGTTGCGGCTGGGCCTCCAAAATGGCCCTCAGCCCCGTCCTTTCCTTACCAAGCATCAGAGGACTAACTTGCAGGGCTGTGGTCAGCCTTTCTCGGTGTAGCCCCCTCTGCAACAGAGTCCCTCAGTGAGGGAGATGGGCAGTCCAGGTAGTCAGTGGACTTAGGACCACAATGGAGCCCAAAGTTTCTGTTGCTAAGTGAGCTTTACCCCATTATTGCCTCGGAATCACTGTAGCTGTTAAGCTAGTAACATGGCTGTTAAGTGAATTACTAGGTGTTAAGCTAACAACAGGGTTGCTAAGCAAATCACTTAAGCTAGTCACATGGTTGTTATGTGAATCACTGTAGTTGTTAGTCACATAGTTGTTGTGCATCTGGCTTCCCCATTGACTTGTCAGAAGGTTTGCAAAAGGGGATCGCGTGACCTTGGGACAATGCGACCGTCATAAATATGAGTCAGTGGCCAAGCATCTGATTGAAAGTCACCATTCACTTCTCTAATTCTGAATGGTCACTAAATGAATTATTCTACATTGAGGACTCGAAATGAATTCTTCTACGTCGAGGACTACCTGTACTGAAATAGGACAAATAAATGAATTAAACGCTGGCCCAGGGAAGGGGTAGAATGACAAGAGGACTACACTGCAGGGCGGTTGTATGCTAGTCTCAAAATAGTTTTTTCTTATATGTACCCATTTTTTTTTTATTTATTTATTTATTTTATTTATTCTTTATTTTTCTTATATGTACCCATTTCATGTATTCACAACTATGTATACATTTATACTTATTATCTTGTAAACAATTGGCAAATCAAATAAATAAATAAATAAATAAATAGTGATGGGGGGAATCAGGGAAAACAAGCCACACTGCAAGGGTTATAAGTGTTAATCAAGAGGAGCAGTAAGTGAGAAAGACAAAATAAGAGATTCTTAAGGTCCACAGTGGATAATTGGAGCTTCTTTGCAAGATAAAAATCGTCAACACTGTCCAACTATTTACAAAGTCTGCACTACTATTACTATTAATCTTCTCATCATTCCTTATCACCCATCCCCTCCCACTTGTGACTGTATGACTGTAACTTTGCTGCTTGTATCCTTATTATTTATATTGATTGTTTCCTAGTACAATTTGATTGCTTATTGTACCCTATGACTATATTCTATTTACCTTTTACCCTGTTAGTATTATTAAGTGTTATACCTGATGACTCTTAATTCTTGACGAATGTATCTTTTCTTTTATGTATACTGAGAGTATTTGCACCAAGACAAATTCCTTGTGTGCTCAATCACACTTGGCCAATAAAGAATTCTGTTCTGTTCTATTCTGTTCTTGGACACTTAATGGAATCGACAGATTAATGGCGGACATAAAAAACTAGACACAGGGACAATTTTTCCCCTCTTGCCATCACTCTGCTAAACACCTAATTTCCACTGCACTATCTTATGTCTAAAGATATTTACCCATGTAGTAGGGCTGTATTACTATTATCCTTCTCATCTTTCCTTTTACTTTCTACTATTGGTATCTCATGATTTATCACCCTAATGCTTGTATCTTATGATTTATGATTGTATCTTATGATTTATTACTCTGTTGTTTGTATGTACACAGAGTTTATGCACTGGAGAGAAATCCCTTGTGTGTCCTATCACACTTGACCAATCAAGAATATTTTATTCTATTCTAAAAGGAAATGTATTAAATGTACAGTCTGGTCTACCAAATACACTAGTGTAAAATACTACTTGTTCAACAGTCTTTGAATGAAAAGGACTCATTGCTTCTGGCGTATATTGGTATTTAGCCAAGAAAATCCCAAGAATATCACTTTTATTTTCAAATGTTTTATAAATAGATGATTGCCAGATCCTGAATGAAAAACAATGGAATTGGATGCTTAGGCATGAAATCCTGGAAACAGCAACACATCTGCAGCATATCATTGGAGAAACAGTTTTAAAGTTCTTTTTAAAAAGGAAGGGAACAAATCTGAAATCTATCAATCTTTTTGGGAAAAAGATCCAACGGCATGATTTAATAAGATTTATTTTGATCCTCAGCTTCTCTTGTTAAAGGAGTCAGGAAGTAAAAATGCATTCATGCCACATCTCATCATTCATTCCACTAGAAATAACTCAAAAGTCAGTCGATAAGAGGCTACTCAGTAACTGGATCATCCATCAGGAGGCTTCAATTGCTCTCCTCTATTTTGTCCAGTAAAAGTAGTTCTTAACCTATGACCGCAATTAAGCCCAACATTTTTGTTGTTAAGTGAGACATTTGTTAAGTGAGTTTTGCCCCATTTTATGACCTTTCTTGCCACAGTTAAGTGAATTGCTGCAGTTGATAAGTTAGTAACCCGATTGTTAAGTGAATCTGGCTTCCCCATTGACTTTGCTTGTCAGAAGGTCGCAAAAGGGGAAAATCACTTGATTTTGGGACACAGCCACGGTTATGAATATGAACCAGTATGCTAAGTGTCTGAAATTTGATCATGTGATCATGGGGATCCTGCATGTTTTTGTTAAAAAATCGGTTATAAGTCGCTTCTTCCACTGCCGTTGTAACTGTGAACGGTCACTAAACAAACTGTTGTACGTCAAGGACTACCTGTATTCCTTTGTTGGCTTTTCAGCTGCAATTCCCAACCTAATCCACTAGAGGTCAGTACTTTTCACAGTTCTGTTTGAGAAGCTTTGAACTTAGAAAAAGAGAAGAGAGGAAAGTAAAGCACCGCCCTCTGTTGGCTGAGGTTGGCAACTGCACCAAAAAGTCCAACTTTTTAGAACTGGACAAAGACATACAGTGCATTAGTTCCGGCTAACTTCATCTCCTCCTGCTTCCAAAAATGGCCATCCTGGTGCTTCTGAAGGGCTGACTGGCTTATATGGCACCCCCAGATCATGGGTACCAAAACACCCTCTGAAAAATGGCTGGAGACGAAGCAACTAAATGCAACCTCATTTACATGAAATGCAGCCAATATGATTTATTACAGCCAGTGATGGCTGGAGCAGCCTTCAACCTTTGCAACATAGGCCATGTTTGCGCTCCCCAAAAAGACTCAGTGCAGCCTGCACAAAGACTAACCCGTCAATCACAATAAATCATCATCTCTCTCCCCAGACGTGTTGGGGACCTCTGGCTAATTCTCTTCCCAAGCCTTTGGCTTGCATCTGTTCTCTTCAAGCCAACACCTAGGCTGACAGATGTAGGTCCTGCTAATCTACAGAATTGCCTTATAAAACTGCTTGTTCCTTCCCCGGACTTACACCTCTGTAACTGGGCCAACCCAACTGGTTTTACACGCTAAAGACGCTGGAGGAATTGAACACAGATGAGGCCAGGAAGAACAAGCTCTGGATTTATTTTTCTCGGGGGGCGGGGGGGAGGCGAGCAAACAAGATCATTTGCAAGACTGTCTTTTTTCTGTTCTAGCATTTCTCATCACAGGTCACCTAAAATGCCCTTGATAAAAAGAGGACAGCAATTAAACATTGTTGGACCAAGATCCTCTGAACGATCTGTTCCTTACAGCCTGATTTGTATTTCTCATTAAAACTTAAAAGTCTCACTGTGCCCATTTGATTCATGACTCCGTAACAGTAGAGTACTGCCTATGAGGCCTGGAAGATTAGTTAGTAGGACAGAAGAGACATTATAAGTATTATGCCCGGGTCGGTATCTGATTCAGAGAGGGAGGCTGAGCAGCTGACAGGGAGTGGGAGTGTGGCTCCGTTGGAAGAAACTGGGGGAGGGCAAAGTCCAGCTGGGCAGAGCAGGGGAGAGGTAGAACAAGGGAGTTCAGAGGAAGACCCAGGCCCAGCCCCTCTTCATCCTAGGGCACACAGGGAGGAATGGAGAAGGGAGCAACGTGAGTTGCATGGCTCATGGGGGAGGAAAGGGCCCTGATTCCCTTCATTAGCTGCAGCTGGGAACACAGTGTTTAAAAAGGGAAGTTGCACACAGGAAACTGTTGGAAGCAAATCGTGAATTATCTGGTATCGTGGAGGCTTATCTGTGTTCCTGGCGTCTTTCCAACTGTGTGTTTTGCTGTGGTTTCAAGTCTGCAATTCTTTCTCCTGCCCTGTCCAGTTAATTAGTGCAGCGTGGTTTGTGTGGATTTTTAGTTACAGTTTGTATGTACTTTGTTTTTGGACTGAATTTTCTCCATTTAAAGGCTGTTCCTGGGAGAGTTTTTCTCCAGCAGAAGATAATCTGGACAGTGGGGGCAAAGTTGGAGATAATTAAGGGGACTCCTCTTGCTTATTTAACTGTGTTGCCTTTATGCCATGCCCCTTTGGGTCATCACAATAAGGGACAGGGTCAACCCAAACGGAAGGACAGAAGGTGAGGAATTCAGGAGAGGAGCCCAGGTAGAAGCTTTGGGTCAGAGTATGGTTCTCACATACAGGTACTCCTCGACTATGGCCACAGTTGGCCCAGAATTTTCATTGCTTAAGCAAGGCAGTTAAGAGAGCCGCATCCAATTTTTATGACCCTTTTCTGATGTTGTTAAGTGAATCACTGCCGTTAAGTGAACCATGCGGTCATTAAGCGAACCTTGCTTCCCCCCATTGAATATGCTTGTCAAAAGCCAGCCAAGCACCTGAATTTTAACCACATGGGGATGTTGCAACGATCGTAAGCGTGAGAACCGTTTGCAAGTCGCTTCTTTTCTGTCCGGTTGTAACTTTGAACTGTCGCTAAACGAACAATTGTTAAGTCATGGACTACCTGTATATAATTTAGCAGTGTTTCTCTGGATCCCTTTGCATTCGTAAAAATGACCGTGCTGGTTATATCTATAGATAGTTAAGAATATATCCCTCGATCGGAAATGTAAAACTGAGAAATTTAAAAATATTTGATTTCATGGAGCCCCTAAAAGAGTCTCAGGGGCTCCCAGACCACACTTTGAGAACTGCTGTAATGCAAAAAAAAAAAAAATACAGTCCCGTCCTCGACTTAGGACCACAATTGGGCCCAACATTTTGGTTGCTAAATGAGATGGTTGTCAAGTGATTTTTACCCCCGTTTTAATACCTTTCTTGCCTCAGCTGTCAAGTGGAATCACTGCAGTTGAATAAGTTAGCCACATGGTTGTTAAGTGAAACCTGGTTTCCCCCATTGGCTTTGCTTGTCAGAAGGTCGCAAAAAGGAATCACGTGGAACCCACCCCACCTGCGGGGACGCTGCAACTGTCATAAATATGAAGCAGTTGCCGAGCGTCTGAATTTGGACGTGATTATTGGAAAAGTCGTAACTGTGAAAAAGTCCCTTTTTTTCAGTGCCGTTGTAACTTTGGTCACTAAACGAATTGTTATAACTATAGTTCGTTATAGAACTGTTATAAATATAGGCAAAAAATAAAAAAATAAAGATTCTTCCAAACAGACCATTTCAACCATTAACAATCCATTGTTCTTCTATAAAGGACAGGCTGAATTATACTGGAATAGAGGAATATTGTGCTTTTTGGACATCCTGCTTAAAACCTTCTTCCACCTTTTTAAAAACAGTTTAAAAAACACACCAAAATGGGCATGGCACACGTTACAACCTTCATTTATACAACCTTCATTTCCCATTTTAAAAAGTTGTGGGGGTTTTTTCCCCCCACCTTTCACTAGGAAAGCCGTTTAGTGCTACTTAAAGGATTAAAAGCATTGAGCTAGGAAGGGAGAAAGTGGGCAGAATGCACATTCAAATCCCAGCGCAACTTTGGTTCTGGTCCAGCCTACCTCATAGGGTTGTTGTGAGGATGAAGCGGAAGGTGTATGTCTATGCAGATACCTCGGGTCTTTGGAGGAAAGTGGGACAAATGTGCAATAAATCTATAAATAAAATAAATAGAGCAGTGCCTGCCACATGGCGAGGCCGAACAGGAGGGTGACCTGTTTAATTATCGTTACCTAAAATCAGAAGCGAATTTCTTTTAAAAGAGGGGAAAGCAGAACACCAGAGCAGCAGAATGGAAGATATTTCTCCTTCATCTATCACCTACCCCAGAATAATAGTAATCAGACGTTCGTAGGAAAGGAAGGAAAGACAAAAACAGCGCACTGAAAAAATATGGGAAGGTTGGAAGAAGCGGAGGTTGGGAAGACCAGCTCCGAATATTCCCTGACAGGAAACCGCCCCAAATTTGTTCTGGTTCATGGAAAGAAACAAGAGGAAGGAAAGGAGAGGAGAGGAAAAGGGAAAAAAAAGGAGAAAAAGAAAGGAAAGGAAGGGAAGGGAAGGAAGAGGGAGGGAAAGAAATGAAAATGAAAAAGGGAAGAAAAGGGGAAGGGAAGGGAGGAAAGGAAGAGAAGAGAAGGAAAGGAAAGGAAGGAAGGAGAAAAGGAAAAAGGAGAGAGGGAAGGAAGGAAGGAAAGAAGGAGAAAAAGGAAGGGAGGGAGGAAGTAGAAAAAGAGGACAACAAGAGGAAGGAAAGGA